CTTCAAAAGGGAATTAATTGTTGAAGATAACACGGTGGTGCTTGCTTTATCAACACAACAACCTACTAATGAGCATACATGGGTCTACTCGATTCATTCAAGAAATTTATTTACACATGTCCAAAAGGTTGTTGGATATGTACTTCGTTTCACAAAAAACGTACGGAAACCAAAAGAATCAAGACCAGAGACCATGCAGCTTTCACCGATGGAGCTCGACGTAGCACTTAAGATAATAATACGTCAAATCCAGGCCTCCGATTTTTCTGATCTAAGGAAAATGCTAGTTAAGGACGAATTTGTGCCAAAAACTCATAACCTCAGTTCACTAACTCCGTTCGTAGATGAAGAAGGGGTAATACGTGTTGGCGGACGGCTAAGCTCTTCAAAACTACAATTTGATGCCATTCATCAAATGATTTTACCAAGCAACGATCCACTAGTAAAGTTGTTGGTAGAAAAAATACATAAAGACAATTATCATTGTGGCGCCCAAGCATTGCTGGCACAAGTGAGGCAGCGTTTTTGGCCCCTCAAAGGAAAAAGCTTGATGAGAGCTGTAATACAACAATGTTTAAGATGCAGAAGAGCAAGGCCAATTGTGTACAATCAAATCATGGGAAATTTGCCTGGACACCGTGTGCAACCAGCTCGACCATTTCTCAGCACTGGAGTTGATTATTGTGGCCCAATATGGGTTCATTACAAAACAAGAGGCAAGCGTCCACAAAAGGCGTATATCGCTGTCTTTTGCTGTTTTGCAACCAAGGCCGTACACTTAGAACTTGTGACTGATCTGACCACAGATGCATTCATTGGAGCATTAAAACGCTTCATAGCAAGACGAGGACGCTGTAAAACGTTATACTGCGACAATGCGACCAATTTCGTTGGAGCGAAAAACAAGTTGCAGGAACTTACTGACGTCATCTACGCTGATCGAGCGAAGGAATCAATTGCAGGAATGTGCAGTACGAAAGGCATAGAATTTCACTTCATTCCACCAAGGTCACCACACTTCGGCGGGTTATGGGAGGCAGCAGTAAAATCTGCCAAATATTTGCTGGTCAAAAATGTTTCAACAGCATCACTTACATATGAAGAGCTTGAAACTGTTATTATTGAAGTTGAAGCAGTGTTGAACTCGCGACCCCTTATTCCTAGCTCATCAGATGCAAACGATTTGAACGCAATAACTCCAGGTCATTTTTTAATAGGTGAAGAAATCACTTCAAGCGTTGATGTGCATGCACGTGACTCTAAAGAAAAATTACTTAAACGCTGGCAACTGGTATCAGAGCTAAAACACAGTTTTTGGCAGCGCTGGACTAAGGAGTATCTAAGCGAATAGCAACAGCGCCACAAGTGGAAGGGTCCCATCACCAACATACAGACCAATACGATGGTAATCCTTAAAGAAGACAATGTCCCAGTTCTGCAATGGCCTTTGGGACGCATCATCAAAGTTTACAAAGGTGAAGATGGTTTAGTGAGAGTTTGTGACATTCAAACAAAAAAGGGAGTATTTAAAAGACCGGTGCATAGATTAGCTCCATTATTTCCTGAAGACGATAAATTAGAAGATCCAACCTTTGGAAAAATGACTGAAAGAAAAATCGAATCAGAACAGACTCAAGAAACTCCAAGGTCACCTCCCGTGTCGCTTATCGTAAAAATTCCATTAAATCGCATCAGAAAACCTGAATCATTAGTCAATGGGTTAACTCCGACAAAACGATCATGTCTGAATTCCGGGTTGCTGCTCACTATTATTACTCTACTCATTTTGCCACTTGCACTATGTAGTCCCGTCAATATAACAACCTTCAACAACAAACCTGGCATTTATTTTGAGCAGCTTAAACCAGTCAAAATCATGTCTGCTGATTGGAAAATGATTGTATATTTTGACCTTTCCCCATACCAACAACAAATGAGCATTTTAGCTGATGGAACAAAAAGGTTGAACAATTTATGCGACAAGGCATTGGATAACACTGCCTGCAAGGTATTACTCAACTATTTTGACCGTATAACGGAGGAACTGCAAATGGAACTTAATCTTCTTTCTGTTAGAAAAAGAATAACAAGAGGAGCTATAGACATTGTCGGAAATTTTGCAAATTCATTGTTTGGTGTCCTCGACTCAAACTACGCGGCACAAATGTCAAGCACAATAAATGGTCTTAAAAGGAACGACAATCACCTGGAACAACTCGTTAAAAACCAAACGTCACTTGTTGATTCAACTATCAATATCTTTAAGAAGAACCAATTAAACATGCATGACAAATTTGAAGAAATTGAAAAGCGCATCAATAACTTGTTGTATACAGATGAGTCAATAAACGACATACACGTAACACAAAACATGCTTATGTTGTCAATGCAAATGCTCATGATGGTATCCAACCAGCAAAGAGTTCACTCATCAATTATGGACGTACTAATCGACAGTCATCACGATAAAATAAATCCTCTTCTGCTGACTCCACAACAGCTTAGTGAGCAAATAATGATGATTAGAGCACATCTTCCATCACACCTACAGTTACCTATCCACCACAATAACTTACTCGAAGTATATAGGCTCATGAAGATCAACGGAATCCTGGCAAAGGGCCATGTCATTTTTTGCATCGACTTATCTCTCACGGATCCAAGAGAATTTCAACTGTTATATCTTGTTCCAATTGTGGCAGCTATAAATAACACACTTTTATCAGTGAAACTTTCAACAGAATTTCTAGCCATCAGTCCGCATCATGATGAATTTCGACCAATGACACAGCATCAAGTGGACGCATGCATATCGATAAGTGACGAAGAGTTATTATGTCCAAACATACAAGCAACATTTCATGAATCGGCAAACGTCAATAATTGTGAAATTGACTTATTTAACAATCAAGCTAAACCAAGATGCGATATGTATCAGCTCAAGGACACAACTGTATGGTATCAACTAAATCATCCGAATCAATGGATTTACGCAACCATAAATAATATCAAAATGAATGCAGTATGCAACAAGAAAGCATTTCAATTAACTTTAGTGGGCAGTGGTTTGATTAAATTAGAACCTGAATGCATCATCAAAAATGAACACATTACGATTCAAGGTCATCAAAAAATGGTTACTTCAATGCAGGCATCGATCACCAGATTGAACCTATCTGTAGGATGGACAAAACAATATGCGAGCAATAACATCAGCGTCAAACCATTGTCACCCACAATCCATGAGCTTGAACTTATTCAACGAAAATTAGGCCACATCCAGAGTTCCAGTTTTCCAACTGATGCTATTAGTCCAGGGACACATAGTCTAATAACCAGCTACGTTGCATTAGCAATGTTTCTATGTGTCGCTAGTGCACTCTTATATATATGGCGAAGGCAAAAAATCACCTATCAAACACCTCCAATACCGATGCCACGACATCAGCAGATGACCGAGGATACAGCATGTTGACTTGCAGTTTCCAATAATTAGAATTGATGTTGTCAATTCAAGGCGGGCAGCATGTTCACACATTATTATTATTGTAAAATATTATTATTATTACTATTGTTATTATTGTACAATATTTGTAAAATTTGAACATATATGCTGATGTTAGCAATATCCAAACTTTGACTTTCCTTTGCATTATTTAATTTGGTAAAATGCAGTGGCACTGAACTTGAATATTTGCATTATATTTTTTGTTAAGTGCAGTGGCACTGAACTTTGAATATGTAACATATATCAAGGCCAGTGCATTGGCATTAATTCTTGGTTGCTAGACACAACAAAGAATTTGGTTGCATAATATATGCTGAGCTTGCACTTTAGGCAAGAAGACGGTAAAGGAAAAGAATAAAATTTAGATATTGTTATTGTAATAATTTGTAATAATTTAGTATTTAAGGAAAAATTTAATTTAATAAAATTCAGATTGAAACCAATATTCGATCTCTCATTTTCATTTTCCAGAGTTTCAGTTCAAGTGCTGAAAACTCAACCTTCAATTAAAGAGTTACAGTTTAAGTGCTGTGAACTCAATATCTTTGATGTTAATACATTAACACAAACGATACAGTGATTCTAAACGAAACAAACAATGTTTTAATTGTGGCAAAATCGGACATTTTGCACGTGAATGTAAAAATAAAGCAAAAGCTGAAAATAACACGCAATTGAAAAATTCGAAAAAATCTGTAAACAATAATTTTAGCTATCATGTTGAAGATGCATTTATTAGCTCAATAAAAGAAAATTATTGGTGCCTAGATAGTGGATGTACTGCCCATTTAAGTGCAAACCGTGAATATTTTACAGACTTTCAAAAATCGAATAAAGTGCTTAACTTAGCAAACGACAACACAACAAATATAAACGGCGTCGGTAAAATGAAAATAACTGTAGACGTATACGGTCGTGATAATAACATTGATCTTAAAGAAGTTCTATATGTCGAGGACTTGCGTACAAGTCTACTTTCTGTATCAAAAATAGTAGACAGCGGATATGAAGTGCATTTTCGCCCTTCAGATGCAATCGTATTGGACAAATATCAGAAGGTTATAACTCGAGCGAAAAGACGTGGAAATCTTTTTATTGTTGAAAATAAAAATCATTTTGCACAAGTTGCTGAAGAAAAATGTGACATTGAAAAGTGGCACCAGAAAATGGGCCACATAAATGAAAACGATCTTAAAAAATTGGCTAGTAATAACCTAGTACACGGATTAAAATTAAATCCTAAACAAAAACTTCCGACTTGCGAAATTTGTATTAGTGAAAAACAAATACAAAAACCATTTCCTAAGAGTAAAGAAACTAGAACAAGTGATTTATTAGAGATCGTGCATAGTGATGTGTGCGGACCAATGAGAACAGCATCAAATTCGGATGCAAAATATTTCGTAACATTTATTGATGACAAATCACACTATTGTCATGTATATTTTATAAAACAAAAATCCGATGTATTAAATGTATTTAAGCAATACAAAAGAGCAGTAGAAACATTTACGGGTAAACGAATTAAGGCTTTACAATCAGACAATGGTAGAGAATACGTTAATTCTGAATTTAATTTATTCTTGAGGAAATTTGGTATACAAAGACGCTTAACTGCTCCATATACGCCGGAGCAAAATGGTATTGCTGAACGTAAAAACAGAACTCTAGTTGAAATGGCCCGTTGCATGATGAAACAAGCTGAAGTTCCGCCAAATTTTTGGGCAGAGGCCATAAATACAGCGTGCTATATTCGGAATAGGTGTCCTACAAAAGCATTGAACGGTGTAGTACCGCACAAGTTGTGGACTGGTAAAATGCCAGCTATTGTACATTTTCAAGTATTTGGCTCTAAAGCATATGTCCTAAAAAAGGATAAGACTAGAGATAAATTCGATTCTAAGTCAGAACCTTACATGTTTGTTGGATATTCAAACGAAGCGAAAGCCTATCGGCTGTGGTCACCTACAAAACGAAATATAACAATAAGCCGTGATGTAGTGTTCGTAAACAAAAATATCTATCATAATAAATACGAAAACATTTATATTAACAATGAAAACGACTGCCAAACAAATGATTATATCGATATTGCGTTCGAAAATTGTGAAAATCAGAAACTGTCGGTCAATCCGAAAATTGTAGAAAATACAGATACGCGAGAAGAAAACTCCATTCGTAGGAGAGGTCGTCCGAGACTTATTCGCACAAATTCACGCGGTAGGCCTCGAAAAGAATATTACACGTCAAATCGGAATGGTGAAGAATCATCCAACGAAGACGAAAATACAAGTTCAGTAAGAAAAATTGCTGATAAAAACCATTCAGATGATGAACCTGACAACAACGTTTTTGAAGATTGTGAAATGGCGTTTCTCACTACATATCAAACTCCAGTAACGATTTTGGAGGCACTTGAAAGCGATGAAACAAATTCCTGGTCAAAAGCGCTAGAAGACGAAATAGTGGCACAACTAAAGAATAAAACATGGGAAGTGGTCGAAAGACCGAAATCACGAAAAGTTATTGGGAATAGATTCGTGCTTCGAACTAAAGATGACGGAAAACAGAAAGTACGATTAGTAGCGAAGGGTTTTGCACAACGACCAGGTGAAGACTTTCATGATACGTTTTCTCCAGTCGCTCGTTCAACATCTATAAGACTACTTGCGGCACTGGCAGCAAAAATGGATTTGGAGATCCATCAGATGGATGTCATTACAGCATACCTAAATGGAGAGCTCGAAGAGAGTGTCTTCATGGAAATTCCCGATTATCTTATACCATTCCTAAACAAAGTTGTTTCATCAAAACCAGTGGGAAAAACTTCAACAATATTGTGTGGAAAAGTTAAAGAAACAGCGCAGCATTGGTTAAAGGCGATTAAATCAAGTAAGTCACCTGTATGTTTATTAAAGAAAGCTCTTTATGGACTCCGTCAGTCTGGGCTATCATGGTACATGAAATTGACAAAGAAACTACAGAATATGGGTCTAAGTGCAGTACAACAGGATCCTTGTGTATTCACTAAGCGTGAAGGTAACGACATTGTTTTGATGACAATATATGTAGATGATTTACTAATAGCGTCCAATAATAAGTTTCGTATAAATGAAATAAAGGCTGCACTTGCGAATGATTTCGAAATGAAGGATTTGGGAATAGTAAGTAATTGTCTTGGCATCGAGTTTCATCAAAATTTAAGCAAGCATCAAGTTTTTCTTTCACAAGAGAAGTATGCAAAAAGCATCATTGAAAAGTTCAATATGAAAGACTGTAAACCAGTGAAGACTCCCATAGAATTGAACATTAAGTTAACAAAACCAACAAAAATTGATGAAGGTGTTATGAAGATGTATCCCTATCAAAGCTTGATAGGAGCATTAATGTACTTAGCTGTTACAACTCGACCTGATATTGCGTTTGCTGTAAACTTTCTTAGCCAGTTCAATTCAAATTATAACGTGGAACATTGGAAAGCAGCAAAACGAATTCTAAGATACCTTAAAGGTACAAGCAACTATGGTCTATTGTATGAGAAAGACAATGAAGAATTGTATGGTTTGGTTGACGCTGATTGGGGCGCTGACTTAAACGATAGACGTTCATATTCAGGGTATGCGTTCATTATATCAGGAGCAGCGATATGTTGGGAAGCTCGAAAGCAACGTACAGTAGCGCTTTCAAGCACTGAATCAGAATATATGGCCATATCTGAGGCCACAAAAGAAGCGTTATATCTAAAGGCAATCCTTGATGATGTTGGCATTACAAGTAAGACAATTGAAATCTTTAATGATAATCAAAGCGCTCAAAAATTAACGGAAAGCTTCAGGTATCATCCACGGACAAACCACATTGATATTCGTTATCACTTTATTCGCAGCAAGGTTAACGACGGCACTGTTAAAATCAAATATATGCCAACAGAAGAAATGCCCGCAGACGTCCTTACCAAAGGACTCACTACAGAAAAGCATGTTAATTGCTTACGGAAATTAGGAATGAAATATTAAAGTCATATTTTATACATAATAAAAGCACTTTAAGAGGGGGTGTTGTTATGTAAAGTACTTTTTTAAATATTAATTGCCTGGCAACTCTGGCCTGTCATTATTCTATATTCCTTTTGTAATTATTATTCATTATTCATTTTTAGTATAGTTAATAAAGCGAAGTAAAGAACATGTTAAAAATACATCGGACCGTGTTTCACTTTTGCTAAAAATATATAATAAAATAATATAAATTGAATATTTATATATAAATAATAAAAATATATAAATTACAATAATATAATAATTTTACAATTAATATATAAAAAAATACAAAAGTAAAATAATAAATATTCGTCAGCTATATAATATTCAGGTTCGATTCCTAATATGTAACGCAATATAAAATGTTCTCAATGTGTTTGAGATAAAATAGATATTTTCACAATTTGCTTTTAAAGACGCTTATTAAAGCTTATTAATGCTTTTTTCCTTTTAGAAATATTTTTTATATATGGCACTGCTCATCTTTACAGATTACAGGGTTTTGGCTTAACCGAACGGGGGCATAAAATAGGTTCAAAGCAATATTTTCTGAAATTTTATATTAAAAAGTGGGTACATAGGCATATGGTTCCCTTCTACATATGATGAATGAATCTATGGTGAATGTGATGTATGAATTGATGATGTATGTATAGGCATATATATTTACAGGTAGCCGTGTACAGGACCGTTTAGTAGGTTAATAACCACTTTTTTAGTAAATGATATAATATATACTTCTTTTTGTTAATAACCTTGTCTCTTGCTAATTAGTTTCTTTAAAGTGAAATAAAGCCCTTTCCCTGACCCAATTCTTTGCTATACCTAATGTAAATGGTTATGCTGGAGTAGATGGTAAGGAATTGGGGTAACCTTATAAGAACCAATCGTTATACTATTCTGTTGGCCCAAATTGTTTTTCACAAT